CCAGACTTCCTGAGATCCAGGGTTCACAGAGCTTCTCACCCGGGCACAGGAGACCAGGCTCCAGGCAGCGATGGGGAGGCTGAAGCTGCCGAGAAAGAAGCTGAAGAGGAGCCAGAGCCCAGGTGAGGAGGTCTGGCAGGGGGAGAGGAGGGTGCCTACCAGTCCTCTGGGGTCTATTCCCTGACAACCACCTCTCCCTTCTCCTAGGCTCATCATGGACAAGGCACCCCAAGAGACGCTCAGCAAGGCTGAGGTGAGGAATGAGTGACCCCGAAGAGGAGGTGGGAAGTGAGACTCAGGAGACCCTGGTCTGGGCCACTGTAATCCTCCTCTGTCAAATGGGGACAGGGACCTGGCCTCTAAGGGAATCTCAGAATCTGGCTCTTAGGGGTGGGGGTGGGGGACTGAGCTGGGTGAGGTTTAGGACTCAGAAGTTACTGTCTGCCACCAGTGGGACGAGTCAGACAGGGCATGCCGTGACACGGGACGGGGTGTGACACGGGACGGGGTGTGACATGCAGGCCCCACTGGTTTGGCAACTGGTTAGCTGGTTACCAGCCCTGCCTGGAGGGCTGTGCTAAATCCATCTGGGATAGCCAGCTGGAGCCTCTGGCCTCTGACCCTATCGTGACCTTTGACTCCTTCGTCACTAGTCCCCACTGTGATCTCTACTCCTTGCTTTTTTCAGAAACCTGATTCCCCTTCACCATATGTCCCCCTAAAGTCTTCAGATCATGAGGAAGAACCCCAGGCCCAGGAAGGTGAGTGGGAGGGTGTGTGTTGGGGACTACAGAGAGGTTTCAGGGACCAGAGGCATCTCTGAAGTGACCCCAACCACCTGTGTTTACCTTCCTTTCCCTTCCTACTCTCTCCTTGGTGCGTGTATATGCGTGTGCGTGTGCGGTCTCAAGGGCTTCCCGCAGGACTGGAGCCTGAATCCGCAGGTCACGGGAATGGCAAACCAGTCCCTCCAAATCTGCTTAGGGGCGGGCAGGAGAGGGCCACGCTCAGTAGCTCATGCCCCACCCCAGCCCCAGACTCCGGGGCCCCGCAGGTCAACACGGAGGAGGCGGAGCCGGAGCCGGAGCCACGGCCTCGGGGAGCCGAGTCGCCGCCACCCCCAGCCCAGGTAGGCGGGAGCGGCCGGCGGCTGCTCCCAAGACCCGGAACGGATTCTGGGCGGGGAGTGCCCGTGCACCAGGCTGAGAGCCGTCGGGGGAAGGGCTGGGAAAGAGAAGACGCCCCGTCACTTACCCCCTGCCCCACGCTCCCCAGACCCAGACGGCGCCCGAGATCTTGCAGAACGGGGAGGAGGCTCCCGGCCCCGGCCCCTCCCTCGACCGCATGCTCAGCAGCAGCTCCTCCGTGTCCAGCCTCAACTCCTCCACGGTGAGGGGTGAGGGCTATGGCCTGGGGACGAAGGAGACGGGTGGGGGACGCCACCCTCCATATCCCCGCGCGTAGCCCCGGCCTCACCCCTCCCTCGTCCCCTGATCTGAGCAACACCCCCCAACCCCGCCGGGACCTGAGCCCTGCACACCCCCCGCCCCAAGCTGACCTCCACCCCCGCCCGCAGCTGAGCGGCAGCCAGCTGAGCCTGTCCGGGGAGGCCGAGGCGGGCGCGGTGCAGGTGCGCGGCTCCGTGCACTTCGGGCTGCGCTACGAGCCGGGCACCGCCGAGCTGCGCGTGCACGTGATCCAGTGCCAGGGCCTGGCGGCCGCACGACACCGCCGCTCCGATCCGTGAGTGCCCGACCCGCTCTCGCTGCACCCCCACCCCGCCACTCTTCTTGGTCGATTTCGTCCGTCTTCAAAGTGGGAGTATCGACGTCCTTGGGAGGCGCGGGGGTTGAGTGAGAGAACTCCTGGAAAGCGCTGCCCGGAAGCTGTGCTCTGGGCTGGGGCTGGGGAGGCCCCCCCCGGGGGGTGGGTAGGCGCTGGGAGGGCCCCCCATTCAGCTAAGGTCCTCTCCTCCCCTCCCACGCTCCAGCTACGTCAAAAGCTACCTCCTCCCGGATAAGCAGAGCAAGCGCAAGACGGCGGTGAAGAAACGGAATCTGAACCCGGTCTTCAACGAGACTCTGAGGGTGAGGCTGCGACGACCGGGCGGCCCCCCATGCATGAACCCAACGCCCTTTCCTGCGGGGGCCTGGTGGCTGGGGCACCCAGGGTATGGTCGTTGCCCGTCGCTCCGACCCTCCGTTGTGCGAGAGGAACGGCAGGGAGGCCCTCCGTTCGGGCGTTCCCCAGTGGGTCAGTCCAGTGCTGGGCATGGCGCTAGTCCAGACCTCCCATTACGGCCCTTCGAGGCTCCCCCAGATTCCGTCGTGCAAGGAGCGCGGTAGGACAGGCCCCCGTCCACACTGCCGCAGCGCTGAAGCCGGCGCCAGCCGCCGTGGTCCCTTAAAGCGCACCTCTTGTCCCCAGTACTCCGTCTCGCAGGCCGAGCTCCGAGGCCGCGTGCTGAGCCTGTCCGTGTGGCACCGCGAGAGCCTGGGTCGCAACATCTTTCTGGGCGAAGTCGAAGTGCCTCTCGACACGTGGGACTGGGACTCTGAGCCCACCTGGCTCCCTCTGCAGCCCCGGGTGAGGCAGCCTGCCCGCGTGGGGAGACCCAGCGACGCAGGTGTCCGGCCTGCACCCTCCCCGCCCCAGCCCCCTTTCCTTTGCTCCAGCCTCCTCTGACTCCGCCTTTGGCCGAGCCTCCCCTCGGCCTCGAAACCCTACTGCCACCCCCGGCGGCGGTTGGGCCCCCCGGCTAGGTGCGCCCCATCCGGGTCTGGAGACCTCACCCCTCGATGGCCGCTTTCGCTGGGGTCGGCTCCTGCCCCTGACCTGACCGCCTCTCGCAGGTTCTGCACTCTCCCGACGACCTCCCCAGCCGCGGGCTGCTCTCCCTTTCCCTCAAGTACGTCCCCGCCGGCTCCGAGGGTGAGTGCCCCGCCAGAGGCCACGCTGGACGGGACCTGGAAGGAGGGGGCCTCCAGTCCGGCGAGGGCGAGGGGCGTCCGGCGAGGGCATGCGGCGGCAGGGTCTGAGCCGAGTCTCTGGGCAGGCGCGGGACTGCCCCCCAGCGGGGAGCTGCACTTCTGGGTGAAGGAAGCTCAGGACCTCGTGCCGCTGCGCTCAGGAGCCCCGGATACCTACGTACAGTGGTGAGGGGCTTCGGACCGTCCTGGCTACCCTTCCTCCCCGCCCTCCCCCACCGCCCACGCGCTCTGGAGCTCCCCACCTCTGACAAACCCCTCGTAATCAACCGTTCTTGATCCGCCCCCCAGTCTGATCTTCGACCACTGTGCAGGGGTGAAGGGGACAACTTGAACAAAAGCCCAGAGTCAGAAAAGTTAAAAGACTTCCTTCAGGAGCTGCATTTCAGAGTGACAAGCCATAGGACTTGTTGGAGAGCTGAGGCTGGGGACCTGGGAGGTCACAGGGGCTCTTCCATGAAAAGACCTGGAAGGTCAGGCTGTGGGGCTTGCCCCTGAACTTGCAGTTCAGTGGTTTTCAAAGTAAGCTCTGGGGGACCTCTAGGGGTGCCTCCGGGTGCTGCCTCACACTCAGAGAGTGAAATGAAGTTGGGTGGGTCAGGTTCTAAGTTCCCAGCCCTGATTCCACGCATAGACGTTGTTTTCTTCTACTTCTGGGTAATGTTTTATCTTGCAGGGTGGGTTCTGAGGCTTTAAAAAGTCTGGAAACTACTTCTGGGGGCAACAGGGAGCCAATGAAGGTCACTGTGCAGGGAAGTAGCAGAACTGTATTTCAGAGACTTTACTCTGGGGTCCTACGAATAAGAGTTGTAACTTTTAAAGACAAGAGCCTGAGAGGTAGCTGGCCCAAAGGTCCACGAATAGTGAAGGTTTGAGTTCAGGACATAGGCGGGAGCCAGAGGGCACGGACATTGTGAGGGAGAATGGGTAGGATCTGGTGACTGGTTGGTTCTGGGGAGCGTGAGGGGATAGCCACTTGATTGCCAGCCTACCTGCCCCACAGTTCAGTGCTGCCCGATGACAGCCACGCCGGCCGCCAACGGACAAGGGTGGTACGACGCAGCCTCAGCCCTGTGTTCAACCATACGATGGTTTACGATGGCTTCAGGCCTGCTGACCTGCACCAGGCCTGTGCTGAGCTCTCCCTCTGGGACCATGGGACCCTGACCAGCCGCCAGCTGGGGGGCATACGCCTCAGCCTGGGCACTGGTGAGTGGGGCAGGGCCCCGGGAGACCTGATGCTAATACTGGGCTCAGCGTGCGGCCTTGGGCACTTCTCTACCCTTCCCTGAGCTTTGGTGTCTACTTATGAGCTGGGAGTGGCAGTGGGTAATCTGGGACCCGGAAGGCGTTCCTTGGGACCTAGGGTGTCCGGGGTAACCATGTCCTTCACCCCTGTCTGCACATATCCAGGCAGCAGCTATGGGCTCCGGGTACCCTGGATGGATTCCACAGAGGAGGAGAAGCAGCTGTGGCAGATGCTTCTGCAGCGACCATGTGAGTGGGTGGATGGCCTTCTGCCCCTCAGAACCGACCTGGTGCCCAGGACATAGCTACCCTACAAGCTCCACCAGACTCCTCTCTGGACCCCCATCTCTGGGCCTGCCCTTGGCCAAAACCAATAAAGTCTATTCTAAGGGCAGCAAGGGGCTGATGTCTGTTTTTGGGCAGCAAGGCCGATGGCAGGAATGGGCGAGGGAAGTGAAAGGGAAGAGGTGAAGGGACTTCAGACTCAGAAAGACCTTAGGAAGCTGGTCCCAGGACCCCCAGCCCCCCATACCTCAGAAGTTGCCAAGATCCAGAGCGCCTGGGTGGCTCAGTGGGTTAAGCCTCTGCCTTCGGTTTAGGTCATGATCTCAGGGTCCAGGATTTGAGCCCCACCTTGGGCTCTCTGCTCAGCAGGGAGCCTGGTTCCCCCTCTCTCTCTGCCTGCCTCTCTGCCTACTTGTGATCTCTCTCTGTCAAATAAATAAATAAAGTCTTAAAAAAAAAAAAGTTGCCAAGACCCAAGCATACAAAGATATTCTGTTTAATAGTCTGCCTGGCCATACTTGATCGGCTTGGGGGTATCTCTATGGTTGATCCCCCCCAATATCGCTAAGTCTGGGCCCTACCCTGCCCCCACCCGCCTGGCCTCCTCCAGTTGGCCCTGAGTCCTGGGGTAGGTGAGGTGTATCAGAAGCTGCTTGTGTCTTCTCCATGCACCCATCCTTGGGTCCTGCCTTCTGTCTCTGAGCTCTCATTCAGCCTCCTGTTGGCCAGGGGTGACTGGCGTGGATCCTGCTCGCTGGGCCAAGATGGCTCTCCAGATGCGGCACACCATTCCTCCCCTGGGGAGAGCAGGCTCAGTGCGGCTCAGCCAGAATACGGCCTACCCCACTGTCTGCCTGATGCGCCTCCTGTCCCCGGGAGACACTGTGTCCACGTGACTTCCAGGGAGGAACTGAAGCAGGCATGTAGCCTGGTGGGGGGGTGGTCAGACTCTGGCCACCAAGAAGCCACATGCGTGGGTTGTCCCTGGAGGGCTCAGGACATACCTGATGCGGGTGTAGATGAGGTCATCTCGAGTGGCACAGGTCAGCAGGATACGGAGGGTGAAGCTGTGGTTCAGCAGCTGGTTGTGGACAAAGACCCAGATGTAGAAAAGAATATCAGAGGGAGATGTGTCCAGAGACCCAGGTACTAGCTCTGCTGGGCTACTAACATGCTACACGGCAGCCAACGCCCCTTGGCACTTGTTTCCTCATCTGCACCATGGGGGGTACACTAAGTGCTCTTGTGTACTGAGAGTCTCGGCATGAGGGAATGAGTGAGAAGAGCTGAAAGATGGGCAGAGATGGAGTCTCTGGTGGGTGGGGGTCAAGGACTTGGCCCGCGCTCTCCCCCTCACCATCTGGATAGTGCCTGAATCCACATTCAGTCTCTGTAGCCACTGCACCAAGCCCTGGTCCACCGTGAGAGCAGCTGTGGAGGAGAAGTCAGGCGGTCAATCCAGGGGTACCTCCTGGCAGAAGCTGCCTGGCACTTGCCTTGAGTGTTCTCCAGCTGGGGCATACTCACCAGGGGGCTCTGGGGACAAGGCGCAGGTCCCCGCCTCCCTGTTTACCCGCTCCAGAGCTTGCTGCACCAGGGCCTGGCACTCTCGCTCCTTCTCGGCCAGGACATCTCGGAGCCTGTAGGAGAGCGCAGAGGCGGGGCCAGTACGATGGAGTGGAGAGGGAAGGTGAAGCTGGCCCAGAGGGCGTGGGCAAGTCCCTGGGGCTTTACCTGTCAGTCTCTGCTCGCAAGAGGCCCAGCTGCACCACTGGGGTTGGGGGTGCCTTCTCTGGTTCCCCCGGGAGCCGGCTGATGGTCTCCTGCTGCTTGGACTGGGGTTCCTCCTCTGACCTCGGTGGTACCTCCTCTGTCTCCTCTTCTGCCAATCCAAGTGACTGGGGTGAGCTCCCGCAGGGAGAGAGAACGCCCATTTGGGACACTTCCCCAGACACCCGGCAGAGGGCGCACGGCTCTGGGTACCCAGCCATTCATTCCCGCCGGGGTTGAGTTTAACCCCCACCAACCACGCCCCCTACCGGCCCCCGGCGTGCATGTCAAGCCCCCAAGGGGGTCACACCCTCGCCGGCAGGCAGGATAGCTCCACTCCTGGGGTTACCTGGGCCCAACACGGCCAGGGCTACCCGCACCGCTCGGCTAAGCAGCGAGTCCAGCACGAACATCCAGTGTGGGCGGATCTGGCGCCGGCGGAGGATCTGCTTCACCTGGAAAGGGAGAAAGGGCGCGGCGGGACTCAGAGGTGGGGCTCGAGTCGGAAAGGCCTAGAAAGTCTTGAGCCAGAGGCGAGTCGGGTAGGCGGGCTTGGGGCAGAGGGAGGAGCTGGGAAACTAGGACGGGATAGATGTCCCTTTCTTGACGGCTGTATCTTCACGGGGAAGACGTGCAACCTTGCAACAAGTCCTTGCACATTCCCGGGTACAGGGAGCTGACTACATCTTATTGGGCAGCTCGAACCGCGAGAAGGCTCCCTCACCGCGTCCGGGAAGGCGAAGAGCGGTCCGTGCAGAAGCGCAGGCCGGAGGCCTTGGGCCCGCAGCTGCCCTTGCAGCGCCCGCAGCTCCTGGGCCAGCTGCCGGCGGTTGGGAGTGTGGATGTGCGCCCCGAGGCAGCGCAGTAGCTGTTCCACATGATTCCTGCCCAGCTGGGGCCCCTGGGGAGGAAGAGAGGTTGTCGTGGGTGGGTTTCCCCCTGAGTCAAGAGAGCTGCAGGTGGGGGTGCAGGCGTGGGGGAATACCTCTGCGGACTTGCAGGCCCCGCCTCACCACCAACCGGCGGAGGGGGGTGGTGGTGTGTGGCTGTTGGTGGTGGTGGTTGGGACGTGCACACCCACCTGTTGCTGCTTCGGGCCCAGACTCTCCGCCAGCGAGGGCAGCTCCTGCTCCAGCACTGCGGCCAGCATGGCCCGGCGCTTGCTCTCTTGGTGCAGCAGGCTCAGCCTGGAACTCTCCTCAGGGGACGTGGGCTCCTCGGCCCCCGGTTCCTCAGGCACCCTAGTGCAACCGGGGAGCTGCGGATGGAGGGCGGGTGGCCACAGTGCCCGGCCGCCTCCACCCCAGGGTCTGAATCCTGGCTCTTTTGAGGCCAGCCTCCCAGGGGTAAGAGAGAGGAGCCTGGCACTGAGGTGGCACAAGAAATACAAGTCAGAGCATCGGTGAGGAGGCCCCCAATCCCATCCTTGCAAGTGGTGGGAGGCGCCCAGGGCCCCAAGGGGGGCTTTCCCCCCGGAGGGAATACAAGAGCAAACCCAGATGAGGCAAAGCCCCGCCAAGACCCTGGGCTCTCACCGGAGGTGGCTGGTGTCTCCGTAACTGAGGCAGCGCTTCGGGGGACTGGGTGGGTGCTGAAAGGGTGCCTGAGGGCATGGGAATGTCTGGGGCTGGGTGGTTGGGTCAGCTGAAGGAGTGGGGCTGGCTGAAGGGGCATCTGAGGGAGGGAGGAGGCTGTCAGCCTGGGCCCCCCATTCAGCCCTCTCACCTCCACAGCTCCTCTCCCTCAGCCCAGTGCACCCACTCCCTCCACCTGCATCTTACCTGAGGGCCGCAGTGCATGTCGTGGGGAGCCGGGGCTGCGGCTCCTCCTCCCAGGCTGCAGGAAGGGGTCCCCCAGCAGTGCTTCAGCACTGGCTCGGAGGCGGGGGTCTGGCTCAAAAGTTCGGAGAAGAAAGGCTTGGGCCTCCGCTGACAGAGAAGTGGGCATTGGCGGATGCACCTTGTACATGCCCACCTGGGAGGGGTCAGGGAGGACGGAAGAAGGTCAAGTTTCAAGGTGTTCAGGGCTTGATCTGTCGCCACGCCTCCCGCCCTGTGAGCCAGGCCACGAGTGAGGGGTCTCACCTTAAACATGGCCGCCTGCGGGCTCCCTAGCTCATGGAAGGGGGGGCGACCTGTTGCCATCTCGATAACAGTGCAGCCCAGTGACCAGATGTCAGCTGCCTTCCCATACCCTCGTGGGCCCTGGTCAATGATTTCTGGTGCCATATACTGGAGGGTCCCTGTGGTAGAAGCTGTGCCCTTAATGCTCATCTAGGCATTAGACGATGTGGGGGTGACGGGCTCTCATCCTCTAGCCACCCGCACCCACCCTGAACTCTGTCATCCAGATAATCCCCATCACCTACCCTGGTGGTCAACCACCTATCCTGAGTTTCCTCACTCATCTTGGGCTCCGTCACGTTCCGACTCCCTCACGCACAGTACGGCCCACCACACATCCCAGACAGCGTCATCCACTCTGAACCCATCACTCACTTCTGCCCACATTGACACTTCCTAGACACTAAATTTGCCATCATGGACTACTCAAGCTCCAGTTCTAGACTCTATCACCTCACCCCCAGCGCAATCACCGGCCCTTGGTTCCATGTCCCATGAGGGCTCTAACTCCACAGCCAGGAGAAACACCATTCCCCGGAAGGTCCTAAGAGTTCTTCTGTCCCAGGTCAGCGTTCCCACTCCCCACCCCACACCCCATTACCTGTGAAGGTCTCAGTGCAAGGTGTGATGCCCGCCAGCCTCTTGGAGGTGCCGAAGTCAGAAATCTTGAGCAGCCCACTGAAGGTGTTGATCAGCACATTGTCCCCCTGAGCAGAGTGGACCTTATGCTCAGTGGACATCAGGCTGGGTTCCTGATGGAGGAACCGGACCCTGTCCCTGGATCCCACCTCCTACGATCGAAGCCTGACCCTGCCTCTGTCAGCCTCCTCTCTCTGCCACCCCACTTATGACTTCCTGGGTGCTGGCACCTGCTTTGGCTTCAGGTCTGAAGTTCTCTCATTCCCTTGGGAGCCTCCCTGGTGAATTCCCCCACCCTTTGCAAAGGGGTCAGCCTTCTGAATGCAAATTGCTGTTCTCTGTCTGGACCCCTGTGTTCCCATGACCCCCGCCACCAGCAATGGGACTCACCTTGATGTCTCAGGACTTACCTTGATGTCTCGATGCACTATGTGGTTGTCATGCAGGTAGCTGAGTCCCTGCAGGGTCTGGCGGGTATAGAAACTGATGGTGCTCTCATTGTCCTGCAGGGGGCCCCACACCGACCGCAGCAAGGAGGACAGGCTGCCTGGGCAGACGCAGTCCAGGATCATCACGGGCACCCCCTGACTCCAGCCTTCAGCTCTCTGCTCAAGGCCCAGGCACACCCCAGCCATGGCCCAGACTCCATCCCCACCCAAGTGCACAGTGTCAGCTAATTCTGAGCTACCCCACCCACGCAGGCTAGGATTCATTTTCCCCTAGGGTTCTCCACCCCCTTCCTGGCCCCATCCCCCTGCCCCACACTTCCAGTTCCACTGCCATCCCACACTGGGCACGTACCTCCAGGCACTTCCTCCATAAAGATCTTGAGGTAGCCGTCCTGGCTGGTGGAGCCCAGGTAGCGAACGATGTTCTTGTGGCGAAGGCGCTTGTGCAGAGCAATCTCTTCATGCAGGGGCTGAGAGAACCTGAGAGCGGGGAGCAAGAGAGGAACAGGCCGCTTTGGGGCAGAGACGCTCACCCAGCTCCAGCGCCAGGCAGGCGGGGCCCCCAGGACCTGCCCCAGCCACAGGCCCCTCTCTGATCTTCTCCTCCGTATCAACCAGCCCACAGGCCCCCTCCAGACCTCACGGCCCCGCGTGTTCCCTGCCATTCTGCCCACAAGACCCCCTCCCCTTGGGCCCTGGGCCCCGCCCCTACCCCCCCCCCACACACACACCGCACCTGCTGTCCCGCTCCGGGATCTCCTTAATGGCTATGCGCACCCGCGTGTGCCGCTCGCGGCCCGCGTACACCACCCCGTAGGTGCCCTTGCCCAGCACCAGTCGCTCACCCGTCTCTGTGTACTCATAATCAAACTGCGGGGGGCGGGCGAGATGGGGGCTCGGTGAGGCCAGCCCTTCCCCACCCCACTTCCGACGCTCCCAGGCCCCCTTCCTCACCTCCAGCACCTCCCCCACGCCCTCTGCCTCTTCCACGGGCGTCGTGGAATCCGGATTCGTCACCAAGGCTTGGATCAGGCCGCAGAACCTGAGGGTGGGGGAGGTCAGGCCGACGGGAGGGGCACGTTGGGCGGGAACTGTCCCCTCCCGGGGCCGAGAGCACCCAAGGAACATGTCCCTTCCTTTCCCTCACTCCCCAGGATGGGCACCCCAGCCATCCACGCGCACCACTGGCAGTGCCCGACGCTGGGGAAGCAGAGCTGCACGTCCTGCGCCGGGGGCAGCGCGTAGAGGAAGCAGCAGCGCTCATCCCGCTTGGAGGAGCTGGGAAGGGAGGAAGAGCCGCCGTGAGCGCTAGTGGGCCGGGGGCATCCCCCCTCCTGGGACCCCGCCACCGGAGGTTTCTCCTCTCACCTGACCCCGCAGATGGAAGCCACTGGGAAGGTCCAGCTGGAGGGAACGTCCTGGCAGAAGAAGCTGGGTCTGAGGGGGGTCCTGGGGGACTCAGAGAGTGGTTTGGGGAAGGGATGCCCAGCAGTGACTTCACCTGGGGTTCGGGCTCCAGCAGGCTCAGGGTCACTGCGCTCACCGGGTCAGTACCCTGAATCTCCAGCCTGGCAGGCAGCAGCACCTTGTTCATCTCCAAGACCAGCACCTGCACATGATGAGGAAGGGGGTCCGTTAGAGAGGCCCCACCCCTCTCCCAGGTCCCACACCCACACTGGGCAGCCTCACCAAGCACTGGTCCCCTTGGGGACAGGCCGTCTTGAGTGGCTGACAGGACTGCAGCAAGAAATGGAGCCAGAAGTGAGCACGGTGCGGGGTTCCTTCAGGAAGCTCCAGCTTGGGTCTGAAGTGCTGGTACAGCAGGAAGGTTTCCATCATGGACACCAGGTACCTGCCGGCACAGCCTTGTCCTCAACTAGCCCTCAGCCCAGGCCCCAACTAGCACTGCCCGGGAGAGCAGACTGGCTTGGAGGCAGCCAGAACATGGGCACCGGGTGTGGTGGGCACCGGTCTGGAAGGGGCCATGTCACCAGCTCAGGGCTTGGGCTAGAATGCGGGGGTACATGTGTGCAGGAGCAGACAGCTGAGGCCAGGCCCAGAATGCAGAGGAGGCCACCTACCATATGGGAGCATTGAGCTTGTACAGCTGCTCTGCGGCCAGCGCCACCTGGACGAGGTCATTGGCGAGGATCTGAGCTCCCAGGTAGAAGCCTACATCCCAGTAATACTGCATCTTCTCCACAGAGCCTTTTCGGGCCAGCAGGCAGCCCAGTTTCATGCCTGGGAGAGAGGGGTGTGGGACCTAGGGAGTGTGGCTGTGGATTTGGGCAAAGCCCAGGTGTGGGCCACGACATCCATGTGGGCAGGAACAAAGAAACAGGCACGGGGCACCTGGGTGGAGCAGTTGGTTAAGCATCCAACTCTTGGGTTTCACTCAGATCATGATCTTGGGGTCGCGAGATCAAGCCCTGCATTGGGCTCTACGCTCAATGTGGACTCTGCTTGGGATTCTCTCTCCCGCTGCCCCTTCCCCTGCTCTGTCTCCCTCTCTCTCTCAAATAAATAAATCGTAAAAAAAAAAAAAAAAAAAAAAAAAAAGGTGAAAGCTTTGGTATGACTCTCAGGTGGGAGTAGGAGCTCGGGCACAAGGAAGGTTTGGGGAACGAGTGTATGTCAAATTTGGTGTGTAAGGAGCACAGGTGTGGGCTTTGGCACACTTGTGGCCTCAAGGGCTCATGAGGACCCAGGACGGGTATGAGGGTCCAGGTGTGGGTTCTGGCAGAATAGGTCCAAAAGAGACAAGGCCAGGCTCCAGCCCGGTGTCCTCTCTGCCCACGCTCTCCCCTGGCCCGTCCGAGGCCCGCTGGTGGGAGGAGGCGCACAGAGCTGGGACTCACCTATGAGCTGGAGCTCCTCAGAGTCCTCGAAGCGCTGGCCTGCAGCAATGAGCAGCACAGCCGCATTGATGCCCGAGTGGAGGCTGGGCTCTACATCAAAAGCCTTGCGATACCTGGGGTGGGGGTGGGGCCTCAGGGCTGGCCTGAGGCCACAGCCCCACTCTCCAGCCCACGGTCTACTCGCTGGTGCCCCTTACCAGTGGTAGGCCTGCTCCCGGTACCCAGCATCCTGGAAGCCAGAGCTAAAGAACATGTCCTTGTAGACACGGCCGCACATGCAGCAGAGGTCAGGCACCACGGAGCCCTCGCTCTGGACCAGCGGCAGCAGCACGGCCAATGCCTTCTCCCGGTCCCCTGGCCTGTTCCTCCTAGGGAAAGGGGAGCGCAGGCTGGGGCCTTACCTGATGACCCCACCCCACTCTAGCCATGACCCCGTAGACCTACCACCCCCCAGGCGGCAGTCCCATGTGCCATCAGTGGGATCCCAGTCAGCAAAGTCCCTGAACAGCACGGATCCCGCTCAGCAGGGACCTTGCATGGCAGAGACCCATGTCCCTAGGAGGCTAGGACCTGAGCCTTGTTCTATCACTCACCGGATGAGGGCAAACGTATAGTGGAAGCAGACATTATGCTGCTCGGCCACGTCGCAGGTGGGCAAGGCCTTCAGGGTCTCTACCAGCTCGATGATGGCCGAGTAGTCCTGCGGAGGGGGACAGTGCACGCTGGCATGATGGCCTCTGGGGGGGATCCCATCGCCCCCCCAGGCACTAAGGGAAACCTTGAGTTTGGGGCTCCCTCCCATCCCTGAAACCCCATCTTCCCACCCCCACACCTGACACAGAGAACCCGCTATGGGCCCCCACTCCCCCGTGCTGGGAGACAGTGACACGATCGACCCCTATTACAGACAAGGAAACTGAGGCTCAGAGACATGAGCCCCTCTGCTCAAAGCCACCAGCACGCGAGTGGCACAACCAGGAGAGGGACTGGGTCTTTTCTGAAGTGGTGTGCAGCTGCCCCACCTGCCTTCCTGTGCTCCACACACCTGCACGTCACGGTAGGAGAGCAGCAGGTTCATGACAATGTCGGGGCTCAGCAGCTCCACGCTGTCCAGCCTCCGCTGCAAACGAGCCAGCTCCTGCCGCAGCTGCTCCCCGCAGAAGCGCTCCCGGGCCCTCCGGATGTCCTGCCGGATGGTCTCCCGGAAATAGCCACTGAGGGCCCGGGCAGAGGAGGGAGGGGGAAAGAACGATGGGGCCTGTCCCTCAGCCAGGCCCGTCGTGCCCTCGCCAGCCTCCTCCTGGTGCCCCTTCTCTGCACCCCATTACCAAGAGTCGGTAGGCGTGGTCTCCAGCAGCCGGACCAGCCGGCCCACCAGGGGCGTAAGCAGGGCCTCGGTGCCCACCCCGGCCTGGACCAGCCCATCAGCCAGTCCCCTCAGGAGGCCAGCATCACCGCACAGCACTCGGCCTGCGGCTGTCACCACATAGGGGATCAGGGTGTAGCTGCCGACACAATCCTGGGGGGAGGGAGGCAGCAATCAGGGCAGATCAGAGGTCACCACCCGGTTATAGAGCGACAGTGAGGAGGTGAGAGGTCAGCACCAGAGGGGACTGGAACAGCAGAGAAAGGGCACACGTCGTGAGCTTGGCAATAGGGAACAGAAGGCCACATGGATGTCAAGGGAATTGGGTCAGAGGTGACTGAGGAGGCCAGGAAAGGTAGTGGGGGTCGAAGGGCACACTGGAGCGGAGAGTGGATTCTGCTCACCGAGTTCTTCTGGAAAACATCCTCCTGCAGAGGACAATCCAATCGGTATCCTGGGTAGCCGCTGGCCCCCTGCCCCCGCCTGCCCCCGCCCCCAGACACCCGGCCACCTACCCGAAGGGCCTGCAGGTCAGGGAGGTCAGCCTGGGAGCAGAGCAGCACGTTGTTGGTCATGCTGAAGCTCTCCCGCACACCAAGGTGGTAGAAGAGCGAGGGCTGCGCCAGGGAGCTGCTCACCTCCAGCACCACCACGTCTGTGGGGGCACAGGCGGAGGCCCTGAGCCCGGAAGCCTAGCTCCGCAGGCAGGGGAGGAGCCTTGGAGGCTGTCCTGGCTCAGATGGCCTCCCCCTTTGACTCCAGCAGGGTACAGTTTCGCTCTGACCTCAGTTTCCCCCTTCTAGATCCCTCTGGCTCTTACACAGAACGGATATTATCTGCGGTGTTGCAGGAGAGGCTTGAGCTCCACGGGCTGGGACCCTCATCCCACTGCTTAGAGCCTGCGGGTACGGGGCACGATGCTGTGCCTGTGTGTAGAGCTGCTTCTATCTTTGTGTGTGACAGTGTCTGTGAGGGCCGGTGTGTCAACATATGTGCGACGTGGGAGTCTAAGGCTGTGTGGGTCTTTGTGTCCTCGAGGTCGAGTCAGCCTTCATCTTTAGGCTGTTGAGTTTAGGGCCGTCAGATAAGCTTGGTTCCCAGACTCGTGGATGAACAAATAAGTGTCGGGGCGGGGCGTCGGGATTGGCGGAAGGGAGGGGTGACCAGCACGGGACTAGCCACCTTTCTGGCCACGCCCCCTAGCAACCCTGCTCAGCCTCCAGCTCCGCCCACTACCTCGCAACTTCTGGGGCCTCGTAACCTAAACTCCTTCGCCCAGAATCCCGCGCCGAAGGGTCCCTTCGTTTCTCTTTCTGCCTCTCTAGTCCGATCCTCGGAAGTAGTGTGTTACCGCCCCGGGACTCCAGCGCCCCCCCCAAGGACCGCCTCTTTCCCTAGTCCAAGCTCCACCTCCCCGGATCCGCCCTCACGGGCTCCGCGCGAGATCGACTTGAGGCTGAGCCCTCCAACCCCACTCTTGAGATACTACTCTCTGACCGGCTCCCAGCCTCGCCGCAGTCTTAACCCCGTTCCCCAGGCACGGTGCCGACTCCAGAGTGCTTTAAGCCCCAACCCTGAACCCCGGAGTCTCCGGGCCTGGATCTACTAAGTCCCAGCCCGAGCCCGGCCGTGCTCCAGATCCCCTAAATTCCGCTTTTATCATGCCCCTATCTCGAACCCCTCAGCCTAGCTCACTTTGTGCCCCCCGGACCCCACACCGGTCTCGGGGTCTCCCCGGCGTCGCCGAACCACGCCCCTTTCGGCCCTCCTCCGGAACTCTAAGCCCCGCCCCGGGCCCGGGGCCCGCCCCCAGCGCGAGCTCACCCGCGTTGTAGAAGGAATCCAGCGCTGCGGTGTCTCCCAGCGCCAGCGTCCCGAAGGGAAGGCTGCGCAGCTGCGGTCGCGGCCGCGGCCCGGAGAGTTGCGCGCAGGCCTCGCGCAAGCAGCGCAGGGGCAGCGGCTCCGCCTCGGACTCCACCCCGGGCTGCGGCTCCCGGGTCAGCACGTAGACCACACTGAGCGGCCGGCTTCGCGCGTAGCCCCGGCCCGGGGGAGCGGCGTGAGGCCGGCCCCGGCTCAGCGCCTCGGCCAGCGGGTCCTGCCAGCAGCTGCCAGCGCGCTCCAGGGCTCCGGACCGCAAGCACGGCCCTGCCGTGCGGGGGCGCTCGGGTGTCGGGCGCCCGGCTCTGGGCACCCGGGGAGGGGCAGGAGCCAGTGGCTATGGATCCAGGGATCTCAGGATCGGGAACCTGGTACGGGATCTGGAAATCCAGACTCTGCCAGAAGTCCTGTTCCGGGAATCTGGAGCCCAGGGCGAAATCCGGGGTCCGACTTGCAAGGTCCTGAGGATCTGAAGTCGGGGATTGGGTCCAGAGAATCTGGGACATCCAGTGATCCGCGGCCCAGAGTCACGTAGGGGATCCCGGGAATCGGTCCTGGCGTGTCCACCACCGGGACACCGCAGGAAAGAGTCTGCCGTGGCTCTCCCCTGCCCTCACATGTAGGGCGGGCCCAGCCCTTTCCCGGCCGACTGGGAAAGCTCCACCCTCGGCCCTGGGGCAGCGCCGCTCCCTCGCGGCCCCAGGACTTGGCCTCTCCCCTCCCTCCTCTACCGCCAGAACCACTGAGACTGGCGGCTTCCGGAACAGCTTGTGCCCCCGCGCAGGCCAACCAGTGTGGATGGCTCAGAGCGGGCACCTATAGGATGTGTGCCCAGGCCGGGACTAGGGGGGAGTTGGGAACTGCAGGAACTGCAGGAACTGCCCAGCGGGGATCTGTAGAATGAAGGCATCTCCAGAGACAGAAGGGTGTGCAGAACACAGCGAAGAGCCTACATCCTTTGGGGCGGGCCCTGCTGTGCAGGTGGGGAGGAGCCAGAATGGGGGAAGCGGGCTTCTCAGCCTGCCAGGAACATGGTACTTGGCATCTGAGCCCAGGCCTTGGCCCTTTCACCAGGGAACTGCTTTCCCCATAATCTAATCTGCTGACCTCTGACCTCCACCCAAACATGACTATGGGACCTGGATCCCCACACAGACATTTCTCTACCTACCTGAAGAAGATCCAGAAACCTCAGCCCTTGAGCTACCACAATGGCACAGCTCCCCAAATCCCTAGCCTTCCAGTGTGAGTTAGTGAGGCCACAGTCAGGTGTAAACCTCAGCGGGTTCTGAAATCAGGAACTGGGGACTCAGTCTCCAAGATCACTCACCTCCGTGACAGAGCAGTGTGCAAGCCCAGGACCACCCATCAGGCTGGAGTTATCATAGTCTTAAGTGTGTGTTGCTCGGCCACTTTCTAGAACGTGAGTCTAGCAAGTTAACTGCTTGGTGACTGTTACCCTGTGGAAGTAAAATGCACCTTCCCTGGCTTGACTTGGAGTTCAAACCAGCCCCAAATGGGACAGGCAGGAAGTAGCAGAGAATAAGACTTGGCTTGCAAGAGAGGCAGGTGTGGAGAACAGATGACTTAGAAGGCCCAGACACGGGTCAACAGGGTGAGATGCTGCGCAGGTGTCCCCACAAAACCATCCACCTGTAGGACCTGGAGGGCACCGGGGGCTGTCAGTGGATGCTCGAATCCTTCCAAGCCCTCCACTACATGCTCCTCTGACCTTGGCTTGCATACCTCCAGAGGTGGAAGCCTCACTACCTTCCGAGGCCAACCCTTCCATCTTCCTGACTGGAAGGAAGGTCTTCCTTGAATGGAGCTGAACCCTGTGTCTCTGCTCCGCCCTCCTGGGTTTTTCCCAGTAGCCAGAAGAGTCCTACAAGTCAGGAAAGGGTTAAAGTGATTTTATTTTTAAATGAGGACAGGAGAGCAGAGGCAGTTAGCAATGGGGAGGGTAGCCGAGGGTCCGGAAGCTGTACAGGAGAGATAAGGGGATGGGAGATATAAGGGGACCTGCTGCCAGGTTATCCTGGTGAGCATCATGTGAACCTTGCGGGAAGGGTGGCCCACGCCCTGGCCTGAGGCCCAGTCGGTGCCATACTTGGGAGCGGTGGCCTCCGAGAAACTGGACTGGTGGCTTGATCCGCCCCACCCGGCACCACGGACAATCACACACCCTTGCTCTTGCTTGTATCATGGGTGGTAAAGGGCTTCCCACTTCCCCACTATGGAAGCTCAGGGAGCCCCCCGGCTGGCCAGGAGGGGATGGAGTCACCCTGGAGTGGGATGCCATGCTGGCACCCTTAAAGAGATCCTCTCACAGGGGTCTCAGAGCAACCACGAGGTGGGTGTCAGCAGGCCCTGGGAGAAAACAGCAGCCCTTTGGAGCCAGAGGCTTTTCCCCAGGTCACTTGGCCAGTCACAGGGCTACAGGCACTTGAACTCAGGACTGTGGCTCCAAAGCCACTAGCTCCTTCCCCCGACCCCCGCCTTGTCCCCTCCCCAAATCCCCAGCTCCCACCAGCAGCCTGAACAACTCTGCAGGGCCAGGTGGGACAGAGCAGGGAGGGACTTCCCAGTGCCTGCCCCCGGCAAGCGGCATCCTGAAGCACCTCCTCATAACCACTTCCCTCTTGGAAGTCTCTCAACAGTCACTGTCTCTCTGAAGAAAACGCACACGAATACACACACCCAAAACCAAAAACCCTTTCCCGGTTCCTCTTCCGAAGTAGATAACACAGACACTCAGCAGGGCCTCAGATGGGTCCCACAACCTCCCTCCCTGCCTCCTTGCCCATTTTGTAGGGGAGGAAGCTGACCATTCAGAAGGCAATTGGCCAAGGTCACATGGTTAGTAGTAAGTGAAAGAGCTGTATTCAAATTCAGAACTTTTGCCTCCTGAGCCCGAAGTGTTCACTCCTGCACGATTCTGTCTCATGATTGCCATTTCTTGGATGTGGAGATGAGGCCCACAGAGGGGAAGAAATTGCCCTGGGGCATTTATGGAGGCCATGGTAGCACTGGGAAAGGATCCAGACTCCCTCCTCTCCCTTCCCTTCTTCTCCTGCTCTGGGCCCCACCTTAGGCTCATGTGCCTGCTGTGCCCTCTGAGAACTTGCCCCCACCAGCTGGGAGCGATCCGACTCCCCAGGGAGGCAGGAGGCCTCATTGTGGGCAAAAGTGTGGTTGCCAATAAAGTTCTCCAGCTCCCTCTGTGGCTCCCAGGTCCCTGGGGGGGAAGGAGGAGGCAGGGAGGGAGGAATCCTCAGATCCCAGAGTGTCAGCAAAATGCCCTCCCCAGCACCCCCAGGCTCCAGGGGCCCTGCTGGGAACTTACCCTGCAGAGTGAACTGGTGCAAATTCTCATTCCCCAGCCAGAATTCAGACTCCTGGCTCCCAAAACCTGCTTTGTAGGAGGACCAAGAGCAGAACCATTCTGTCACTTCTGGAACACTTAGGAAGGCAGAGAAGGCCAACCAGCACAGCAGCCAATTTTCCAGGCTGGGCAGGAGACGAAGAGAAGCAGGGAGTGGTGGCCGTGGAGAGCGGGCTCATTGGGAGGGGTGGGCAGACACCTGCACCCTCTTTGGATGGGGGCTTGTTGATAACGTGAGTCTGGGTGACTGAAATGAGAGAAATGTCGGGCCTGCCCTTGGAGGATGGTCAGTCCTGCTGGGAGTCGGTTCAAAACAACCTGCTTTAATTTACTAGGAAAATCAAGATCTTATAGCGGAGAGGTCACTCCAGAGTCCTAATCTCACGTCCCAGCCTTATCTTGATGGCCACCCCCTCCCGCCGCAAGCCAAGCAGTCCCCAGGTCCTACAGTTTCTTTCTTTTTTTTTTTTTTTAAGATTTTATTTATTTATTTAACAGAAATCATAAGTAGGCAGAGAGGCAGGCAGAGGGAGAGGGGGAAGCAGGCTCCCTGCTGAGCAGAGAGCCCAGTGTAGGGCTCAATCCCAGGATCTTGACATCATGACCTGAGCCGAAGGCAGAGGCTTAACCCACTGAGCCACCCAGGCGCCTCCCCTACAGAGTTTCTCTCCTCAATATTCTTCAGTCTAAGGGCCTCTCCTTCCACGGTGGCCCGGACCCCTGCCGTCCTCCTAACCTGCATCTCTGACTCTACCCCATCCCCCGCTGCAGAGCACCTTCCACAGTGCAGCCTGAGTCTTTTTCCTAAAATATAAGTCTGACTGGGTCCGCCCTCTGCTTATGATGCTTCCATGGCTCCCCATCGCCTCCCACGTTCCTCAGTCAGCCATCCCGTGCCCTCCATGAACTGGCCTCTGCGGAGGCCCTAAATCCACACTTGACCTATGCCAGTCCATTCACAGGATCTCCTCAAACCCTCTTGGCCTCTCCTGCCTCCCTGTGTGTTTGTCTTTCTGTCTACGTGGAATGCCCTTCAGCAACCCCATCTATCTAAAGAACTTCTACTCAGCCTTCAAGGCCCTTTCAAACAGCATCGCCTCTGAGAAGCCTTCTCAGACTTCTTCAGACCCTCTGGGGGCTCAGTAATAGTTGGTCGGGCAGGGGCGAGGAGGAGGGCGGCCTCTCCAGTGGGCTCTGGCTCCCCCTAGGGGCCAAGGGAAAAGCGCCCGCTGGGCCTGGCCTGGAGCCCTTTGAGCCTCCAGACACTCACCAGCCAGCGGCCCTCTTTGGGCTCTTGGTCACAAAAAGCTGGGGGGGCTCTGCCCTCCATTGGCTCAGAGAGCACCAACCACTCAACGTGGCAGGCCGGCTCAGCAGCTCCTGACAGCTTCTGGGGCCTATGGAAGGAGAGGTGAGCTGACAGGAATTGCCAAGGCAGTCCCCAACCCTCACCCTGCAGGCAGCGGAACAGGCCAAGGGTGGGACCCCAGGAGCTCTGGCGACTCCACTGGGCCCCTGAAGAGATGTCTGGTGGCCCACCGCTACCCCGGCACTGCCTGAGACCGTGTTCCTGGCTCTGTGAAGCAGAGGAAAAGGCAGAGTGTTGGCTCTGAGGTCTGAGTACTTCTGAGGCCCACACACCAGAGGGGAGGGTGCCCAGGCCTCTCTCCTCACCCTCCCCACTTCTCCAGCCTTCCATCCCCCCTGGGGGGGCAATCATAGTGTCTCTTTCAACAGCAGCCAAGCAGAGACAGCCCTCTCCAGTCCTGGGGACAGAAAACAAAGAAAGCAGAGGACGGCCATGGTCCCACCCACTCACCAGGCTCACCCCGAGGCCCATCTTGCCAGGTGGTCCATGTTTCCCCGAAAGGCCAGAGGACAAGGTGCCTTAAGTCCCACGCTGTGCCCAGGGCAATGAGGGACACAGAGCCAGAAGTGGCTCCTTACTGGCTCTGAGATCATGACTGCCCAGCTCATCGTCTCCAGACTTGACTTTCCTGCTCAGCAAAATGGGGAGAGAACCAGCTACCTCACAGAGCCAACCTTAGGATGCTGGGAGCCCAGCCTGGGGCCGGGCACACATTGGGTTCCTTGCCCCTTGGTCATGGCCTCTCAGCAGAGACAGTAATTGCTGAGCCCCAGCCTTATTTCACTCCAGGTCCCTGCCTGCTTCCAGGGATCCCTTAGCTTAAGGGCCTGGAGCCCTTTTCTCTCCACGACTTCCTGGGGCTCCAGGACAACTGGAAGACAGTTTTGCTGGCTTCCAGCTCCTGGGTTCTACAGGAAGATGCAGGGCCAGGCGGCCCCAGGGTGGGCATGGGGGAGTGGGCTTATCTCCTCCAGATATGTGGTTCTCTTTCCATCTCCCAGATTCCAGCTGTCAGGACCCTTGCCTCCAGAGCTGCCAAGGGTCCAGGGTTTGCACTATTTGCATCTATTTGCATAAGTTTACAGCGCAGAGCCCAGATGATCAAACTCCCACCTTGCTCCTTGAGGCTAATGCACCTGGGTAGGAGAAGGACACCCAGGGAAGGAGTGACAGTTGGTGGGGAGGACATCCTAGGCTGCTACCTGGGCAGCTGGGGTGGCCCTGGGTCCTTATGCAGGCCGGCTTCCCAAGCAAGGAGAGTATAAAGGGAGAATGGGGTCCACAGTAGCCCATCTTGCTGGTCCCTGAGGGAGGATGTCAGTTTATAAAGGGGCCAGGCTGGTGGGAGAACATGAAGCAAGACTCCTGCCCATTGTCCCTCCCCAGGGACACCCCACCCAGGCTAGAGCCAGCAGCGGCTAGAGGCATTTCCTCCCTCAGCCCCGGAGGCCAGGATGGAGTCCTAACTTCTGGTCCTGGCTTCTGGGTCTCTGCAGCCATCTCTCCAGACCTTTGGAGTCACATAGGGTTTTCCATCTTTGCCCCTTCACTTGTTCCGTGCCTTCCATGTGGGATGCCCTCCTCTCTGTCTCCCCCTGCGAAGCTGCAACTGTCTGTAGAGGTCCAGCCCTACCATCATCTCCTCCGGGAGCCCCTCCCCAGTCTTTGTCAAGGGTTACAGCCATGGTTACCATTTACTGGGTACCTACTGCACTCCACGAGTCCTGCTGGGTGTGGTCTGTGTGTGGCCTCTGGTTTGTACACAGCCTGGCCTGTAGTCATTCCTGGCCCTGGGTTATAGGCCTGGCACAAAGCAGTTACTCAATAAATATTGGTTAAATGAATGAAAAAACAAGGAGAAACTGAGGCCCAGAGACAGGACATGGCTTGCTCACTACCTGGCACTTAATGTGCTCAGAGCCACAGAGATTTGGCCGAAGCTCCCTACTGGGCAGACACACTCTTGGCAAAGTGACTTCATGCCCACTCTCAAGTCTGCTGGGGAGCCCCCGGCAGCACCTAGGAAATAGACGCTAATATAGGCGGGCCACTGAGTGGGCGACTGTGCGGGGCAGGCCTGGAGGCCGGGAGGCCAGTGAGGAGGCAGCCGCCACAGGCCAGATGTGAGGGTTGTAGTCTGAGCTGGAGAGAATCCTCAGGGGATAGCAAAGGGGAGGGAAGCCTCACTGGCCTGTTCGTTCACTCCTCCATCCACTTGGTCATTAGTTCATCAAGCTTGCGCTGGAGGCCTTCTCTATGCCGGGCCCAGCACTCGTGGGGGCAGGGGAGGGCTACGGTAGCAGGGGGTGTTGGGGAAGGTAGGGTCAAGTTTGCCAGACAGGATGAATCCATGAGAGGGACTCTCTGAGATGGTGAAGTTCCAATTCCAGGGATCTCTCCTCCCCAGACTCTCCCACAGGTGTGCTAAGATCTGCAGACAAGCCTAGTTACCATGTGTTATTTTTTTTAGTCATGTGTTATTACAAAAAAAAAAAGATGTACTTATTTATTTGAGAGAGAGAGAGAGAGAGATCACGAGTGGGAGGGGCAGAGGGAGAGGGAGAATCTCAAGCAGACTCCACGCTGAGCGCAGAGCCAGATGTGTGGCTCGATCTCACGACCCTGAGATCATGACCTGAGCCAAAAGCAAGAGTTGGATGCTTAACTGACTGAGCCACCCAGGAGCCCCATCATGTGTTACTTATAATTTTTTTTTTTTAATGGGGCACCTGGCTGGCTCAGTTGGTATGACTCATGTGACTCTCGATCTTGGCCTTGTGAGTTTGAGCCCCATGTTGGGCATAGAGGTTATTTAATTTAAAAAAATTGTGCTCTTTATAATAATTAACATGGGGGTTCCTGGGTGCCTCAGTACGTTAAGTGTGTGACTTTAGCTCAGGTCATGATCTCGGGGTCCTGGATATCGAGCCCTGCGTGGGAGTCCCCACTCAGTGGAGAGTCTGCTTCTCCCTGCTCCCTCTGCCTCTCCCTCTGCTCGTGCTCTCTAAAAAAATGGTTTTTTTTTTAAGATTTTATTTATTTGACAGACAGAGAGAGATCACAAGTAGGCAGAGAGGCAGACAGAGAGAGAGAAGGAAGCAGGCTCCTTGCCGAGCAGAGAGCCCGATGCGGGGCTCGATCTCAGGACCATGGGATCATGACCTGAACCAAAGGCAGAGACTTTAACCCACTGAGCTACCCAGGCACCCCCTCTAAAAAAAATCTTAAAAAAAAAAAAATCAACACAGAACAGACCCAACTGAACACAGATAGAATACAAGCGAATAAAATACCACCACCTGGGCATGTCATAGGGCAAACCCGAGCTCTAATGGAAGGGGCAAAGTTGTGGAACAATATGTATAGCCCGATCCCACTCTGTGTTTTAAGAACACAGAACACATGTATGTACGGTATAAATTTACAAAAAGGGTCTGAAATGTACTGTTAAGCTTAGTTATTTCTGGGGAGTGGGGCGGGGAGGGGGAAGTGTTCCTCACTCTTCATATCCATTCCTGTATAGACCTTTTGTTTCCTGCAGGCATTTACTACTTTGGTAAAAACAAACATCCGATAAAGAAAGGTCCTTTTATTTTTATTTTTTTTAGTTTTGCCTATTCTTGAGCTTTTTTTTTTTTTTAAAGACTTTATTTATTTGGCAGACAGAGATCACAAGTAGGCAGAGAGAGGGTGCAGGGAAGCAGGCTCCCCGCTGAGCAGAGAGCCCGATGTGGGGCTCGATGGGGCTCGATCCCAGGACCCTGAGATCATGACCTGATTCAAAGACAGAGGCTTAACCCTCTGAGCCACCCAGGTGCCCCCAGATAAAGAAAGGACCTTAACTGAGTGGAAAACCAGAAGGTGGTGGGGGCATTTCCTCCCTCACCCCTGGAAAGAAGGCGCATTCTTCCCGCCTGCACTTAAGTGCTGGCTGGCGAAGCCAGGGGAAGTGGGTGGAGGCCAGGCAGGAGAAACTGTGTGTGCAAAGGCTTGGAACAGACAGAAAGCAAGACGGGCCGGGTGGCAAGAGGGAGATGCAAGTATGGTGAGAGTGGTGCTCAAAGGGGAGGCTGATGCCTGAGATGGGGGCTCTGATGTGGGGGGTGAGGAGATGGACTGCATGGCAGTGGAGGCACGGGTGAGCTGGGAGGCCAAGGAGGAGCTGGAACTGCTTGTGGACTCTCCCTGACCCCCCAGGTCCCTCAGAGCCCATCCAGCTGGAGTGCAGAGAGGCTGGACCTGGGGGAGGCAGAAGCTGAAGGCTATGCAGGCTACACAGCTGGAAGGGTGACGGTGACCTGGGTGCCGACGGAGCACGTGCACCTGCTCTGAGTTGCCCCGCATGCCACTGAGACAGACCCTGCTGTGACCCTGCTTTACAGATGGGAAAGCAGGGCCAGAGCTGGGAAATCTCTTCCTCCCATTCACACAGAGCTGCAGGGCTCCACAGGCTGACCTCGCCGCTGCCACCGTGACCCTCTCTGGTCCCTCTGCTTCCTTGGACAATCACGGGATGAAATCAGATAACGCTGTCCCTCTCAGCCACGTGTCCTATTTCCAGCTGGTGCCCAGCCGTGGGGGATGTTATCAGCCAGGGAGGGCTTCTGGACGGAGATGGGGGAGGAAGTGGGCATGGGAGGGCAGGGGCTTTCCAGGAAGCCCTGGGTGAGGAAGACCAGGAGTTCAGAAGGCACTGTTGAGTGCAAGGGGCATCTCCACCTTGGCAGGCACTGGGGTGGGGACTTAACTTTAGTCGCTGACAGAGCCTGGAAATGCCTCTGCAGGGGAATTCTGACCTTCTGCTTATTCTGGAGCAGAAAAACCTAGATTCCAAGCCCAGCCCTCCCCCCCCCCCCCCCCCCCCCGCCGTGTGATCTTGAGCAAGTGTACTTACCTTGCTGAGTCTCTATAGACTTATCTACAAAGGGCCGGAAAGCGCAGGGAGGGTTAAACACTTGTAACAAATAGAAATGTTTTAAAAGGTGATCGGGGCGCCTGGGTGGCTCAGTCAGTTAAGTGGTCTACCTTTGGTTCAGGTCATGATCCCAGGGTCCTGGGATCAAACCCTGAATCAGGTTCCCAGCTCAGAGGGGAGCCCGCTTCTCCCTCTCCTTCTGCCTGCTGCTCCCCCTGCTCGCGCTTGTGCTCTCTTTCTCTCTTTCTCTGTCAAATAAATACATAAAATCTTAAAAAAAAAAAAAGAAGAGAGAGAGAGAGAGAGAGAGAGGTGATAGTAGCAGTTCAAGGCTGAATTCCCATGAAGGAGAGGACGATGGCTCACCCCAACCCCCACAGATGTACACGCAGCCCAAGACGCGGGACATGGAGCACAGTGCTGCAAAGAGTTCTTTTATTTGAGGGCAGTGCTAGGCCAGGCGGATGGGAAGAGGCAGGCACAGACCCCGTACCAGGCAGGGGGCCCTCAGGCATGATGGGTGAGACAGGAGACGGCTGAAGAATGCTCTCTGGTGCAGGTACCAGGCCCGGGACAGGAGGCACTGAACCCGCTTGACAGCCCACAGGGGCCAGACATGGGTGGCCAAAGTTTTTCCCACCCCCAGTGCCTACAAGAGGGCCAAGAGGGCACCCTCTTCGTCCTCCTTTTCCTGTGGAATCCAGGCCTGAAGGGGGTCAGATTCTGCGGAGGCCAGACAGAGAGGGCACTCAGGGCGGTAGTGCTGCCTCGGCTGGGCGAGGACCCCCACCCCCTGACGGCAGGCAGTGGCCGGAAGCACACACGTTAAGGGAGGCCACAGCGACCCGCCCCACTGCACACACGGGCACACAGGGGCCTCAGGGCAGCTCCCCTTCCTAGAGGAAAACCAAACCACACACGTGTCCCAGGCTCCTGCCTGTGGCTACAGTGCTGCAAAATGAAGGCTTGCCTGGGGTGTCACCTACTGGCTCTCCTCCCTGCCGGCAGCATGAGGGACAAAGACAGGTGGGCTCAGCTGGGCTCTCAAACGCAAGTCCAGGCTGAGTCCTGGCCCCAGCCAACAGGGGACAGAGGGAACCCCATGCGTTGAGGAGGGAGAGGTGTGGTTCCCATGGGTGACGTCAAGAGGAAGACATTGCCCTTAGGGCCGCCCCGTTGAAAAGACCGCAAACTGGCACTAAAAGGGACCCAAAGGGCAAGAGTGGGGTGGGGGAAGGGAGCTGGGACTCCGCTGGCTGGCCAGGTACTCACAGTGTCTGGTAGGTGCTGTCCTTGGCCTTGAGGAAGCGTAAGACGAAGAAGGCCGCTGCCTGCAGGCTCAGCACCAGCACGACGCCCCCGATGAAGCTGGCCCCGTCAAAGCCAGGGCTGTGGGCTTCGGGAACTGGGGGGCTCCCTGCAGGGTGCAGGTCATAGCGGGTCACTGTGGACCAGGATCCCAACCCCACCCCAATAACCAGCACAGGCCTCCTGCAGGCCCCAGTCCTCACAATGGGAGCCTCAAGCAGCAGGCTCAGAAGTTCGGCCCAATCTGTACCCCAATGTTCATAGCAGCAATGGTCACAGCCGCCAAACTGTGGAAAGAGCCAAGATGCCCTTCAACAGATGAACGGATAAAGAAGATGTGGTCCGTATGTACAATGGAATATTATGCCTCCATCAGAAAGGATGAATACCCAACTTTTGTAGCAACATGGACGGGACTGGAGGAGATTATGCTGAGTGAAATAAGTCAAGCAGAGAGAGTCA